GGGCATTAGGAAGGACGTCCCTGCTAACGGGATGCAAACTAAACTGGGCAGTGCAGTCGGTCAAGCCCGAAGATCCACCTCAAAATGGCGTGTCAGCCGAGTGGCTGAGGACCACAGAAGAGGTAGGTAGGCTTCTCGTGGCACTTAAGGAAGGTCCACGCCAGAAGAGACCACAGGTTCAGTGAGTGGTCTGGATCCATCATTGAGTACAGGTTGTAGACCACGCGCTTGGTGAGCTTGTGTGATCCTATGGCATTAGGGATGAGTGAGCGGTGAGCAGGAGGTTGATGATATGCCACTCGGGTTGGAGGGTGGTGACATTCGTTTGGCTGGCAATGAACGTCGCCTGGCGGTGCTCGGGACGACAGATCTAACCTTAGAAGCTATCGGCCTGGAAGTTTGTGGGATGGGCGACCTCCTTCTGGTGGCTGGAGTAAGGAGTATAGACGATCCCCAAGGCACGGGCAATCCCATCTAGACTCATCTCCCTCATGCGCCTCCTAGCCGAAAAGTGAGCGTGGTAGGATAGTCGCAAGCCGCCTTAGGCAAGTACTTGAACGTGGTGTAGAACTCCCAGACCAACTCCGTGTAGGCGGAGTCATGAAGGGTCAAGAGAGTGCACCACTTACGATGGCAGATCGCGTAGGACATCTTCTTGAAGCAGTGGAACGCCCGGAAAACCTCAAAATCGAGGTGACCATAGGCATATAATACTTTAGTGGTGACCGCCCGGAACTTCGCATCATAATTTGTTGTGTAGCGTAGGTCGCGCACGTACCTGCGAGTGAGAGACATGATCCTGCAAAATAATTAAGCCAACGGTGGAACCAAGAAAAAACACCGTTAGAATCACAAGGAGGGGATAGCAAGTTCCCCCACACTTAATGATCACCTAGGCAAGCACTATAGTTCAAACTATCTGCTTTGCAGTCACAGAGATAGGCATATCGGCAAAGCAGACTAATTTCTCGCACAAATCATGGCACAAATCGATAAAACCAGGCAATCATACACCAATTATTGCTAGCAAACCACAAAAAAATACATCCCTCGCCCTAAACTACTTCAAGCATGCCAAACAATTCACGGTTCTCAACCCTAACATCTACAGTCCGATTTTCCATAAATTGCAAAGAAATCACGTCACAAACGTGGAAACACAAGAAGGATCTTATAGGAAGGTGAGAGGAGGGCGATGGATTCGAAATTGCGCTGAAAAATGGTTCGGGGGTCTCGCCGGAGGCTCGCCTGCGAGCGGTGGTGTGGCGGCGGCTTTTGGCGATGACAAAGGCACCCAAAATGGATGAAAATTCTGGGGTAAGGTCCCCCCGGTGAGAGGATCGCAAATTCGTGAATGGTTCTTGATTTGGAGGTCAGAGCAGACCGGGGTCTACAAAAAACTATGGTGGAGGCGATTTCCCGGTGAGAGAAAGGAGAGACCGAGAGAGAGAGTTCTGGAAAAAAATGAGGAGGAGAGAGAGTGGGAAACCGGGTATCACGTTTTAAATGGAAAATACTCGTATAGGCTTTAAAAATACTTGATCATGTATTTCAGCCCGGACCAGGTATTTGGTCCAGGATGGGGCCCGGTCGTGAATCCAAAATACGTGATTGGGTATTTGGAGAGCAGACTGGTATTTTTCCCCAGACGGACCAAAACTCGATTTTTGAAATTTCCGAATACCCCAAAGCCAAATTATCCATGAATGAGGCACACTAGATGATCGAACTTCATCACACACACAGCCTGACTCAAACAGAACAAAAAAAACAAAAAGAAAAGGGAAAAGAAAATGCAAACCATGGTGGGGTTGCCTCCCCACAAGCGCGTCTTTATCGTCTTTTAACTGGATGCATAAGGCGGAACTGAGGGTCCGCAAGATCAATCACCAACTTTGCTCGTTCAACATCACCTCCCAAGTATAGCTTGAGGCAATGCCCATTCACCTTGAAGGGCTCGGTTTGTGGATTGACAATCTCGATGGTATCGTATGGAAACACCTGGTGATCATGAATGGTCCTAACCATCGAGAGCTCAGCTTTCCCGAAAAGAGTTTCAAGCGAGAGTTGTATAGGAGAACTCGATTACACATATGAAACTCTTTGGGCCCTTTTAGACGAGTGTTGTGGAGACGCTTGGTCCTCTCCTTATACAACTAGGTGTTCTCATAGGCGTGATAACGCCACTCTTCCAACTCCGCCATCTACATTTTTCTTGCGCTACCTGCAAGACTCAAATCAAGTTTTAGCAGTTTAAGGGCCCAGAAGGCCTTGTAGTCTAGCTCGATGGGTAAATTGACAAGCCTTTCCATAGACAAGTAGATATAGAGAAGTACCAATCAGCATCTTGTACGATGTCCTATACGCCCACAGAGCATCATCGAGCTTGGTAGACCAATCTTTACGAGATTGATCCATCATCTTTTCAATGGTCCTCTTCAATTCCCCGTTCGTCAGCTCGGCTTGACCATTCGTCTGGGGATGGTAAGCCATGGACACCTTATGCTTAACATCATAGTGAGAGAGGAGCTTAGTGAATTTCCCTTGAAAATGGGTTCCTCTACCGCTAATGATGGCTCGAGGTGTCTCGAGACGGGAAAAGAGTTACTTCAGAAATGAGCATGCCTCTACGTGATAATGATGGCGAGGTGTCTCTTGCATCATTGGTGGGCATGACCTGCGCTTCTGCCCACCTCGAGACGTAGTCTACACCAACCAAGATATATAGATTACTGAATGAAGGAGGAAAGGAACTCATGAAGTCGATGCCCAAGACATTAAAAATCTCACATATTACAAACGACTTATGGGGCATCTCATCACGGGCAGAGATGTTACATGACCTCTGACAGCGATCGCACTGGGGTGTGAAGGCCTCTGCATCCTTGAAGAGCGTGAGCCTGTAGAAGCCCAACTGCAACACCTTCCGCGTCGTGCGGTTCCTCCATGATGACCGTCAGTAGGTCCCTCGTGACAGTGAGACTGGATATCTCCCATCTCGTGCTCCATCACGCAGCGTCATATCACGCCATCTGCTCCAATCCTGAAGAGGTATGGATCCTCTCATAAATAGTACCTCAAGTCGGAGAAGAATTTGCACTTAGCGTGAGTGGCCATCTCCTTAGGTAACTGCTTGCCCATTAGATAATTGTGGTGGTCGGGGGCTGCTGGGAAAGGAAGAATCAGAGAGAGAATTGTATTTAATATATGTTTAAATTTAAAAAAAAGTAAGTAATTAATATGGGTTTCCAATGTGTAATTAATGAGTTTTAAATTGGGTTAATACCTTAGTTTGGCCCGAATTATACACAAATTTTCTACTTTGGCCCATGGTATATGAAATTGCTATCCTGGCATGAACTATGTACCATACTTCCTAATTTGGCATGGAGTCGAGTTTGACCGTCAAATTGGACGGTCAACAGAGTTGACCGTTAGTCAATGACCAGCTCACCTGCCACGTCAGCGATTACAGAATAAAATATTTTATTTTTTGAATTTATTTATTCATTTTCTTTTCTATTAATAATAATAATAATAATAAAGGAAAAAAATAAATAATCCCACATTATCCCCTCCCTTCTCACCTTATCCTCTCACATTTACTTAACCGGAAAAATATTCCACACCAGACCAAACCCATCTTTTCCGATTCCTCCTTCCCCGACGATTCTCCTTCTCGAAGCTCCTGCAGAAATGCAGCGGTGGCCGCCGGCCGACCGGTTGAACACGCCGCCGTCGCCGTGTCACCGCGCTCCTCCTTCCTGACTCCTCCTTACTCCTCGAGTCTGCCATCACCGTATTCGTTTCCAACTCCTACAAACAAAATCACAACTTCCCTTTTCTTCTCCGCAGACGCTTCTTCTCTCTTTATTTTCCATATTCTCCCTCCCTCATTCGATCTCTCTCTCCAACTCTATCAGCGAAGCTAACCATGGCTACCACATCTAGATGGATTCTCCCCGAGGTGTAGGCTCTACCTCTCTCTCCCGCTCTCGTTACTTGTTTTTCCCTCTCGATTGCTCTGTTTGGCTGCCGCTATAACTGATTTCTGGAAGGAAAACATCCCGGAGGGTTGCGTAGGGGAATAGCTAGGGTTTTCTTGTTTCCATAGATTTGATTAAGAAATCATGTTTTTTCCCCGGTTTCTTTTGGTGTTCCCTCTGATTGGGATTATTTGTGGGGCGGTAGGGATTTGGGGGATGCAGCTAGTCAAAAGGGTGGGGATAAATTTGGGTTAAAAATTTTAATAATTATTTTTAGAAAAGTAATCGAATACATAAATTCCAAAAATAAAAATTTTTATTTCGTGCTCGCTGACGTGGCAGGTGAGCTGGCCATTGACTAACGGTCAACTATGTTGACCATTAAATTTGACGGTCAAATCCGGCTCCGAGCCAAGTTAGGAAGTATGGTACATAGTTCAGGCCAGGATAACAATTTCGAAAACCATGGGCCAAAGTAGAAAGTTTGTGTATAGTTCGGGCCAAACTAAGGTATTAACCCTTTTAAATTTGGTAAAGATGTATTAAATGTTAGGGGTGTCATTTTTCCAACCCCTTATGGGGTTAGCAAGCTAACAGATCCCTGTGGTTTTATTTTACTCTCTGGCTTTAGTTAATGTATTCTTTTTCGATCTATCTTACTTGATGACGTGAGTGATCTATCTAATGACAATAAATAATAAAAAAAAGATATGATCCCTAGGTTATTCAAATCCAATTTTTTATATGATTCGAATCATATTTTAAGAGGAACGGATCGAGTACAACCAAGGTTGTCAAGTCGGCCAGTCACACCAGGTTCGAGCGAAGCCAGTGTTCCCAGAAAGTCATTTTGCCTCTAAATCGGTAGTCGATCAAAGTCGGTCAAAATCGCAAAAATTGATGGTTTGATCGAATTGGCGATTTTTGGCTCTAAGATAGAATGTTGCATTTTTCCCCTCTCCCAAATCATATACTTGAAAAAGAAGTATATATACGCAACTTTTAGGGTGATATAATATATTAATCGTTTAATTATTGTACGATACCTGTCAAATTACATCAGGTTATTAAAATATTGAATTATTATCATATGTACACTCATGATTTTATAATATTGATAAAACGAGCTTAAATTGATTGTATCTCAATCTAGCTATTGAACCTCAAATTATTTGCTTGATCAGCTCAACGTTTAAACCGGTTTGACAACGTTGGTTACAAGTTACAACGCAAGAAAAGAAAAAAACGGCTTGTCGCTTGGCGCTGAAGAGAAACCAATATTTATTTTGTTGAGATCGAAATTGGGGATTAGGGTTCATCCTCCCTGTTCCTCTCAATTTCACTTCTCCACTTAGTTTTACAACCAATTCAATCGAGAGTCGAGGCATCAACTAGATCGAAGGCGTGCCTTTTGAGAAGGAACTCGTCGTTGGAGTTTTCCAGCTCCAACAGTGCATCCATGGAGTTCCTTGATGAAGATGCTAGGCCGAGGTTCGTTTTCCAATCTCGTACCGTTGCTGCATCTTCACCAGCTGATCCAGAGACCCCACAAAAGAAATCCCTCAACAAGCCATTCCTCGCCGTAACCATCTCCATCTCTTCCCTCTTGTTGGCTCTCTCAATCTTCTTCGTCCAAAACGAACCCTTCAAATCACTCCTCTTCTGGGTTTCCACCTCCCTCTTGATCGGCCCGCTCGCTCCATCCCACATTACAGGCGGCGACATTCGTGTCGGTCAGGGTCCGATTCTGGAGCCACTCGATCCAGAACCCGAAGTCGTGACGGAGAAGCGGGCTCCGAAAAGGAGGGTGAAGCCAGTTAGATCTGAAGACACGATCGTGAATCAAACTCCGGCGATCGGCTTAGGTCAACCAAATGGGTCGTCGAGTCAGAAAGACAGGTTGGAATCGGCACCGAATGAAGAAGAGAAAGACTGGAGCGAGGAGGATTTCTTGATCCTGAAGAAGCAAATGGCGAAGAATCCAGTGGGCAAGCCGAGGAGATGGGAGGTGATCGCCGAGGCGTTCAACGGGAGGCACAGAGTGGAGAGCGTGATTAAGGCGGCGAAGGAAATGGGTGAGAAGAAATCGGATGACAGCGATTCATACGCCAAGTTCTTGAAGAACAGGAAGCCAGTGGACGCCAGAGTCGAAGCTGCTGAGGTGGACGAAGGTGGAGCTGACAACGACGGCGGTGGAGGGATGGCGGCCGTCACATGGAGTTCTGGCGAGGATATTGCGTTGCTGAATGCACTAAAAGCGTTTCCCAAAGATGTAGCGATGAGATGGGATAAGGTAGCTGCGGCTGTTCCTGGGAAGTCGAAGGCGGCTTGTGTGAAGAGAGTGAGTGATTTGAAGAAAGGTTTCCGGAGCTCAAAAGCTGGTGGTGCTGCTAACTAGACAGACAGAAATTTCTCCATGGTTGGTGTTGGTTGCTGCTAATTTATCAAGTTCAGTGCTTCTATCTATGGGGCTGGATTTTGGCTCGCTCCCGGTTCCCTAACTTAGACTTACAAGGCTGAGTTGGTTACTTGATTGATATACATTTATAGAAACTTGGTTTACCTTCTTCCTCGAGCAATGCAGTTTAGTTTTAAGTTGCAGAACCTTTGGGCGCTTGATTTTGAGTTTTGATGGATTGATTTTGTGCTCGTATCTTTTTTGCTGATGTGCATTCTGATTATTTCACTGAGTGTTCCTTTCCTACTCCTTTTCGAGCTTCCAGTCTCTTTGGGATTGTTAGTTGCTGGCGGTTTCTGTCTGGCTGATGATTAGAGGAAAACCTCCCATTGAACTTGGATGCGCCCAGGGTTGTAAGTTTCTAGCATCATATTAGGAATCAGACTTTATAGACCTCCACAAAACAAGGTTTCGGCTAGGTCTGGTTGTACCAATTGCCACTGGTTAAGCTGTCTTGCACAACACTTGGCTTACCTCAATGCAACTGATTCTGAACTATAATTTGGTTCGGTCACCTGCTAAAAATTATAGTTCAGTTCGGACTGTAATCCTCGGCATATCAAAATGTGTGTGATTGTAGGGATAGGAGACTATCGACACTCGTTGGTCGATGGAGATCGGATTCTTGAGGGCGAAGGAGCTTAAACTTAGACGTGGAGCCGAGAGAGGGAGGAGGTGAGAAGCTGGCGTTAGGTGAGGGCTATGATATTGAGAGCTCTTCTATGGAGTCGAACACACAGACAAGTGGGACAAGGGTCGAGAAGCCGAAGGGGGATGGCTTAGGAGATGAGAAACTGCCATGCGAGAGGAGTGAGAGAGAGTAGTGGCCGAGCAAAGATGAGTGTGAATTGTCGATTGTTGGTACGGGAGGAGTGAGTACAATGGTTTCCCTATCTCGTTATCTCTTGTTGTGCTCGACTTCTCGATCTAGGGTTAGTAGGTTAGGGATTAGAGATTGAGCTTATGATTGGGAGAATTCGAAAATGAAAATGGGGAGCCGAGAGGAATTAGTACGAGGGCTTAGTTGGGGGCCATGGGACGTTGAGCTTCTTAACAGATTGATTGGGGCCGTGAACTATGTGAGTGATGATTAAGTACACTTCAATGCTGAGTTGGAGGTTGGATTTCGAAATTCGAATCAAACAACAAAATATCGGCTAGGTTCATTCGAGATCTAGCCACACAACCCCAGATTCTGACCCACAAAACACATTATTTGATTTGGTCATTTTGACATGAGACTCAGTTTAATTCGGGTTTGTCGAACTGTACACTCACACTCTTATAAGAGAGGAATTGAAAATGTTGAAATAGCATGAGCACCGAAAATAACTAGGAGGGTCTAATGCTCATTGGCTTTACCTAAGCACCAACACGACATGATATTATAACCATTCACTCGGAAGCGAACTGTCGAGTCTCGGTGCAAGGGCAAGGGACGGGGAGGAATGAGGGCAGTTGTCTCCCAATCTTGTTCTCTCTTCTCGTTCTCGACTTCTCGATCAAGGGTTATTGGGTTAGGGATTGACCTTATGATTAGGAGAATTGGAAAATGTGAAAGTGGCGTCGAGTATGGTCTAGTACGAGGGCCTGGTTAGGGGTATGGAACGTTGAGCTTCTTAACAAATTGAGTGGGGTTGTGCGCTATGCAAGTGATGATCGAGTATGCTTCAATTTAGGGCTCGGACTGAATTGATATCAAAATTGAAAGAGTTTGCCCACTCTTCCTCTTCTTTACCCGAGATATCGTGTTCATCATTAAAATGTTTATTCGCTAAAGATATCGTATTTTTAGAATCCAGAAAGCGGGATATATCGGCGCTCGCTCCTAGGCTTACAAAGTAAAGCAGTGATATAGAAAGACCTCGTTCTTTTTTCTAAGGGCCGGTCTTTAAGCGTCAAAAGAAGATTACCATGGATCTCCGCTATCCTCATTGCTTAGTAGATCGTCTGAGCCTCGACTAGGCCAGCATTGTGAAGTTAAAAAAAAAATAAAAACTTTTCCCATCGCATCATTAACTGGTGTAGAATTAAAGATCAAGTTCATGATTCGACGTTGTTCAATATCTCGGTTGCTTAAAAAGTTGGAAGTCGAGCAACTTCGTCCCTGGCATTTCTTCCTTGTCCCTTTCTTACAGATGTCGTACCTCTTCCGTCTATTGTAGTAGCTCCCACTAAAGCTGTTGCTGCTTACACTAGCTAGGCGAACTCCCGTTATGTCCCTTCACCCTTTTCCTAACACTCGGGGTATTCACTCCTGTCACTTCGTTGGATTCGAAAATTCGACTCGAAAAGCAGAATATCGATTTAGTTCATTTGAAAATTAGCCAAAGAGCCCCTAGATTCCACCCACAAAGAATACGATTTTAGTTTAGTGATTTCGACATGCGATTCAGTTTAATTCTTTGTTTGCTGAAAAGGCTGAGATACCATCAAAGCGAAAAATAACTACGACGGTCTAATGGTTAATTGGCTTTGACTTGAGCACCAACACGACACTGTATAATGTAAATGACCATGTCGGAACTTGGGGTAAAATACCTCGGGTACCACTTAACTTTGAGAATTGGGGGAGCTATACCACTTATATTAGAATAGGGTGTCGGGTACCACTATATATTGTCGTCAAATTGTGCGTCCGTCCGTTTTTCCATCCATTGACTAACGACAATAATAAAAAGAAATATTTTGGCCACATCAGCGCTAACTGTGTGCTGAGTCACTTTGGTGGGACTCTGCTGCAAACTAATTAAAAATATTAATAATAAAAGAAACAAAAGGAACATCGAACCCAGCTTTTGCATAAACATTCTCTGGCTCTTTTCCCCCCCAAAACCGAACCTTGAAAGAAGAAGAATCCGGCACAAAGCCGGCGACGAAGGTTGGTCTGGAGTATGTAAAATCCCCTCTCCGATGATGATTGAGGATGGAGAGGGGCGCATCGCGGATCTCCACCCCGAGCACCACGCCCCCCAGACTAGCTGAGAGGTCTCTACCCCCAGATGGCTCCCCACACGATGGCGGCGCTGAGATTTGCGGTTGTGACGTGATTGGGGATGGAGAGGGTGTAGGACTCATCGACGCCGTGGACGAGCGGGGCGGCGAGGTTGGCAACGGAGATGGAGAGGGATTGGAGGGGGAGTGGCGGATGTGGAGAAGTAGGTGGTGGTGGGGTCGGATATGAGGCGCTAGCGCTCGGAGGAGATGAGGCGGTGGTAGCGGGCGACGACGATCGAGAGGTAGTGTTTGGATGAGAGGGAATCGAAGTGGAACGTTCGGGAGAGGGTGGCGATCGTGTACGGGGAGGACCAGGATATGGAGGTGGGTTTGGGCCAGACGTTGACCGGCAAGGCTGTGGCATAAGAATGGATCAGGAGGAGGGTGAGTAGGAGGATGTGGCGGGAGGTGATTGGGTGAGAGGTCAGGGGAGCCATCTCGTCGGAGAGGTTGTTTGCCGGCAAGGAATATGCTGGGATCGATGTTCCTTTTTGTTTCTTTTATTATTAATTGTTTTATTAGTTTGCAGCAGAGTTCCTCCGAAAGTGACTCAGCACACAGTCAATGTTGATGTGACGAAAATATTTTATTATTATTGTTGTAAGTCAGTGGAACAGGAGACGGACGGACACACAATTCGACGACAATAATGGTATTCGATGCCCTATTCTAATATAAGTGATATAGCTCTCACAATTATCAAAGTTAAGTGGTACCCGGGAAAATTTTACCATCGGAACTAGTGTTGTGTGAGGGGCAAAAGAATGCGTTCGGCTTAGGTCCTTGAGTGCATATGCGAAAGCCTTTTCTCCGTACTGTTGTGATAAGATTTGGGCCAGAAGTAGTAATGTCTTCGTAATTGAGCCGAAACCGGTAACGGGCCCATTTGATTCAGTCGGATTAGGGTTTGCAAGTCGCACACCTTTATAAGACAGTCGCAGTTCTTCTCAGTTCTCCGCTGGGTGTGGCTGTTTTTCCTGTATCCTAAACCCTTGAGAGAAACTGCGAATCATGCCCCTCTCCTTGATATATTCCTTTCTCTTGCTCAGTTCGTATTGCTTTTCATAGTTTTCATCTTTTCCAATCGTTTTTGTTTTATTCGATGGAGGTAGTCTGGTCGGGGCCGGCCGGATATGATGAAAGTTGAACATCAATTTGTGATGAAGATCTGTGGATCGATGAATCAAACAAATTATTTCGCTACGTTCTTTCTGATTCCTTTTTCCCGCCCAACCCTACTTTGTTTTTTCTATTTCTGTATTGCTTTGTGCTTTGGTTGGTCATAGATGGGCAGTGATGAAATCAGTAAAATCTTAGGACACCTTCTGACACTGGAAACCAGTGTATGAGAAAGATTTTCAGTTTCTGATGCTTTTCTATCAATCCAACATATTCTTTTATTCTAAGCTTTTTTCTTAAAAATGTTCTTTTAGTACTAATGCTCTGTCGAATCCTTGTCATATTCAATACAAGTAACAGCATGAACAGAGTCGCAGCAGCTCTCCTACTTGAATTGAATATGACGAGATTATGGTCATTCTTTTGCTTTGATAGACAGGGAAGTGGGAGTTAACCTGAATTATCTCCTCAGATCTAGACGGTTTACGTTTGTGAATTGTTGCTGACTCCTGCTAGAACCTTTTCCCTGTGATACGTTGATTTAGCGTTACATCTACGGGGAGTTCGAAGTTTATTTAGTTCAATTAGGGGTTAAAAATGAGAATGATCTATGCCACTGCCTCTCAAAGAATTTGGTTAAGTTGACGGCTAGCGGTGCAGCTTAATTTTGAAGTTCAACAAAATCATTTGAGTGGGTCAATAGTTGCCGAACCGGTGGAGAAATTGGGTTGTTGACTCAATCATTTGGGTCAATACCCAATCATTGGATCGGTGATTTGTAAAAACAGATCCTTTCTGTATCTACAATGCTGCTCAGCGAAAGCCTGAGATGTTTCATTTCCTTTGTCTGTGGCATCGAAATTTCCAGTTTAGTAAGTTCCCGGCTGGCGGTATATCTTCGGCGAGCTGCAATGGACTTTTATTGGAGGTTTGAATTATTGCTGGATTTGGGACCTAATTTGGCGAATTATGACAAACATTTTTATTGAAACGTTTTTAGGTTTTCAATTATATTGATCTAAACTCTATTGATTTCAACGAAAGATAAATGTATTTTGAGTTAGCAAACATGTCCTAGTAGGAGGTTGGCATGATGCTAACCAAGGTAGTCAACCCGCGGGTTGTCTCGGACCTGGATGAGTTAGTGGGTCAAGAGTTAATTGGTCACCCGTTTTAGCTCGGTTTAGTTTTGGAAGTATGGAAAGCGTCATTATATTGTACTTATTTTGATAAATTATATCAAATCTCTTCTAACATGAGTTATAACATATAATATTATACTAAAATAACATGTCGTGCTTAGATTCAACATATATTGAGAATTCACACATACTTATATAACATTAATATTCAAATGTTTAACTTAGGATTCCAAAGATTGAGTTAGGCAGAAAAAAATTGAAAAATAGATGCATTTCGCAAAACAAAGAAGAAAATGACGCAATTTGACCTCCAACCTGGTACCTTGTAGCGATCGACCCGTCGGGTTCATGTGGCTTGTTTTTCTCACCGGGCCAGGGTCAAAGTGGGTCAACCTGTGGGTCGACCTGCAGGTTGACAACCTTGATGCTAACTATAGGTGCCAATCGGGCGGGTTCGGGTTGGGTTCAATCGGGTTACGGGTTGGTTGGGTTGTGGGTTGGTCGAGTTACGGGTTTATCGCATTCGGATTCATCGTGATCGGGTTCAATCGGGTTGCGGGTTAATCGGGTTCAATTGGGTTGCGGGCAAATCAGTTCTGATTTATCGGTTTCATGTCGGACGGGTCGGGTTGCGGGTTGTTCGGTTCAGCGCATCGACTGAGTTTTGGGTGAAATTTCAGTTGGGAAGGTTGCAGACGGCGGATCAGGACTGGTGGTGTACCGATACTGATTTTTTAATTATTTTAAAACAAGTGAAATTGTTTATAAAATTTTTTTGTAGAGAAATTGTTGGTTTAGCTAGTTAATTATTTGTATGATTTGTTGATATACCCTAAACATATAACTTATACGACGACTCTATAGTCTTTACCCTAAATGATTTTGTTGAAAGCTACAATGGCTTGAATGAACAAACCCGTGAAAACTATATTGTTCACGTCTTCACGCAAATCGTTTGTTATTCACGCAAACTAATAATCATTCACGTCAAAACTATCTTATTCACGTAAATATCCAATCATTCAAACAACATGACAATTATCGGATAGTATCATAATTTTTCAAATAATCTCTTTCGCCATCTACGATCAATTAATAACGTATGAAACTTGTTAAGACCGGTAGTATCATTTTCAAGAAATTTCAGCTAATCACTGGCGTAATAAGGATTCATAATACTTGAACTAATAGTCTAATGCTTTAGGAAACAAGTTCAACAATACATACACATCAAACTATGAAACGTTCTCATGCAAATTGATCAGCGATCACACAAAAACTAACTTGATTTATATAAATTTTAAACTATTCACGTCTAATGCCCTATCACTTACACCAAAACATTTTTGTTCATGCATAGTTAGGGCTGTCAATTCGGTTTCCGGTTAGTGGCTAACCGGTAACCGCCGGTTAGCGGCTAACCGAAAACCGACGGAAATCAGTCTCGGTCGGTTGGCGGTAATTGGGTCTGGGTAGGCGGTTAGCCGAGTAACCGAAGCCGGTTAACCGGCAAACCGGCTCTAACCGACCGAATGATACGACGTCGTTTTGGCCGGTGAGAAACGACCCCAAGTCCCAACCCTAGACACTCACGTGAATCGTCAGTCGCCACCATACCCTCTCTCGTTTTACTTCCTCCTCATCCTCTCGTTACTGGCGAAATCCTCGGAGACCAGAGTCACCATCGTCGGCCAGAGCACAGCCGCCAGCACGCCATCGCCGGCCGCGCCTCCAGTCGCCGCGCCAGTCTGCCGCCACCCTCCGCCAGTCACCAATCGCCTCGCCAGTCTGCCGCCAGCCCGCCACCCTCCAATCGCCGCCAGTCACGATTCGCCACCCTCCAATCGCGCCGCCAGTCACCAATCGCCACCAGTCACCAATCGGTCGCCGCCACCACCCTCCAATCGCCGCCACCCTCTAGTCCGCCACCCGCCAGAGTCCAGTCCGCCATCCCCGCGCGGCGGCGCCTCCATTCGACCATTCCTCCATCTCTCTCCGATAACAAGAAGTCACGAAAGAGATAATGTAAGAAAAAAAAATTTCCCCCAAGTTTCCAAGACCAAAGCAGCGACCAAAACAGCAGGGTTGAATCGGTTGATTAGTGGTTTTAGATTGAATAATTGAATGAGTAGAGTTGTGTGAATTGAAAAGAAGTTTGGATTGTTGGTTGGTTGGAATTGAGAAATGATGATGATTGTTGATTGATTAGTGGTTTTATAGAGTGGTTTTGGTTGGTTGGAATTGAGAAATGAGAAGTAGGGTTTTCTTTGTCTCTTTTGTTTGTTAATGATGTGTGAATTGAAAAGAAGTTTGGATTGTTGGGGTTTTTAATTTGGGTTAATATTTTCGTATGACCTGAACTTTGACCAAAATAAACATCCAGGCCAATTTTTTCGATCTATAACATCCAGGCCCGAACTATACACCAAAATAAACAATTAGGCCAAATCCGACTTTTGACCGTTAACTTGGATGGTCAAACGCGTTGACCGTTAGTCAACCCGCCATGTCACTGCCAAGTCAGCATAAAATATTTAAAATAATTCACAATTTCCATACATTCTCTAATTTTAAATTAATATAAATTAAAAAAATCATCTAATACCTTAGTTAAACCAAAAATAAAAAACAAAAAAATTAAATATTTTTATCAGATCTTTTGACTTGGCAATGACGTGGCGCGTTGACCGTTAGTCAACGCGTTTGATCGTCCAAGTTAACGGTCAAACATCAGGTTTGGCCAAATTGTTTATTTTGGTGTATAGTTCGCGCCAGGATGTTATAGATCGAAAAGATTGGTCATGATGTTTATTTTGGCCAAAGTTCAGGCCATACGAAAATATTAACCCTTTTAATTTTTATAGAGTGGTTTTGGTTGGTTGGAATTGAGAAATGAGAAGTAGGGTTTTCTTTGTCTCTTTTGTTTGTTAATGATGAATGATGATGAAATGTAAAATGAGGATGAATGATGATTTTGATAGATGAATGATGATGAATGATGATTTTGATTGATGAATGATGATGATTGATGATTTTGATTGATGAATGATGATGATTGATGATTTTAAATTTGTGTAACTGTTGATGTAGGGCGAGACCTCCGGATCCACGTGGTGGACGTGGCGGACGAGGTGCACCATCCGCTGAGATTGCTTCTCGTGGTGGGACACCTGCGGCTCCTCGAGGTCGTGGTGGTGCGGGTGCCTCAGCCCCTCCTACTCAGAATCGGGGTCGTGGTGGACGTACAGGAAGCCGGCCTGTTCAGTCTGGTGAACCGTCAGCGTCGGCATCAATTGCATCGACTCCCGCCCATGTCGGCAGTGGAAGTACACCTGCTGCTGAGGCTCCTTCTGCAGAAACGGTTAATCCGGTTTCAAATAAAGCTAAAGACGATCCCTTCAATCTAGAGAGATGGTTGGAGACAAATGGTTCAGCTGATTGTTGGAAGGACTTTACGAAGGTGGCGGTGGATGAGTATCCGTTTGGAGAGTGCAAGCATTGTCATACTAAGATCAAAGCACATCCATCCAAGAATGGCACTTCTGCAATGAATAACCATCGGAAATCCTGTTTGGCTAAGGTTGCAGCATCCAAGGATCAGACTGTTCTGAACTTGCAGGCCGCAGATGGTAGTGGAAGTCAAGTAAGTGCTTTATGGAAGTTTGATCAAGCAAAAGCAAGATATTCCTTAGCCATGATGATTATAATGGATGAATTGTCTTTTCTCTTTGTGGAAAGAGACGAGTTTAAGCAGTTTATGCATACGGTTCAGCCAGTGGCGGACCCAGAAATTTTTCATAGGGGTGTCCTCTTTTAAAAAATTAATTAAATAAAAATAATTAATAAAAATAAAATTGTAAATATGAAAATACCTTACTCGTACAGGTTAAAATATCCATGATGTGTTTTCATATTCGAAATTAATTGTAGAATACACTTGGTGTTTATAGTGTTAAAAAAGTTGTCTCTATATACACTAGTAGACAATCATTCACGAACTTATCGCATATTCGATTTGTAAACTTGTTCTTGATATAACCCAAAGTTGAAAGACTCTTTCAACACTTGCCGTACAATCATAAAATCAATACAAATTAAGGGTAGTTTGAAATTAGTTTAATTGTTAGGTTTTTAAAATAATTAGAGATAGGGAATGCCATTTTACTATTACACATTATTCAAAATCAAACAACAAATGAGTTTAGCTCAACGGAAATTAAGTTTATTAATAATAATAGTATTCTAGATTTGAATTATCCAACCTACCCCTTATATTCCTATACACAAATGACAGTAGGATAATCATTTTTTCAAATTTAAGGGGTGTCCCTCACTATCAATTATATTTTTTTGTCCATACATAAATTACCACCGGGGGTTGGATAATCGTTTTCTCAAAATTTAGGGGTGTCCAAGGACACCCCTAAACCACCCTGGGTCCGCCCCTGGGTTCAGCCACTGTTTAAGATACCTGGGAGGAGAGGTATAAGAGATGATTGCTTTCATATATTCTTGGAGAAAAAAATGAATTTGATAGAGTTTTTTGAATCAAAGAGCAAAGGCAGAGTTTCAATCACCACAAATACGTGGACTTCTGACAACAACAAAAAGTACATGTGTGTGACTGCTCACTTTGTTGGAGGTGATTGGAAGTTGCAGAAGAAGGTGATCTCCTTTGTTCCCATCACAAGTCATACAAGAATTGATATTGCAGAGAAGCTTGCAAAAATTCTTGAAGAATGGAAGGTGAAGAATTTGTTCTGCATGACCATGGACAATGCATCTACAAATGATATTGTGAGTGATTGCATGAGAAGGAAATTAAAGGAGTGGGGGTGTGATTTGATGGATGGGAAGTATCTGCAGTTTCGATGTGTCGCACACATCATTAATCTGGTGGTGCAGGATGGATTGAAAGTAA